CCTCTTGCAATTCGTTGAACTCAGAGATTGCGCGCCGAGAGCCAATTATCCGACTGATTTTCTTTCGATATACGCGGAAACGATCATTGTAAGGAGTGAGTCCTAAGGCGTTCTCCCAGCCCATCCTTGATACTGGTAAGTATAGTCACACTCACAGCTACATATGGCTATGACAAGGACATACATTTCCCCTGCGAAGACCTGTCGAGGTCTCGACGAATGCTTCACTGAACGCTTTTGCAACAGCTCGAATGCAAGGTTTGCATCATTGATGATGATGATAGTTTGACCCAGCACAGTTACAGAGCTTATTGGACCTGATTTCATAGGAGAGGTTTAGCCATGTTGCCCTCATCCCTCTATACCCGTCCTCTTGCAGGTTTATAGAATGAAAATAATGGAAGACACCCACCATATAAGCTTTTATGCTTCAGCCAATGCCTCGCCTCCATCTCACCGGATGGAGGCAGATCGTTGATATTTCCTACCAATGGTAAACCTTTGGGTCCTGGCGGCAGGGGGGGACGAACAGAGGGGTTGAAGAGCCCAGCAATGAGCCCAGTCAGATAAGCAACAATACAGCTGAGAACAAGAACGATCCCTAGTAATATTATTTCCATTTTGTGTAGAGTATGCGTACAAAGGCGTAAAGGATCGGGAGCTCGTCGAGCTGAGGAAGCAGACCTTGCAGAAGTAATCAGTCGTACGCGGAGAGCTCCCAGAAGTCATAGAGTGGAGACCGCTTAGATACTTCACTGATACAGGCGCCTGAATTGGGCTGGAATCGTTATATGCGTGAAGAATTAAAGCCGACCAAGAGTACCTATCGGACTGCGTCCTGGAACGAGGTTAGCGCTTATTATGTGTGCAAGCCTAGGGAGTCTGCTGACGTCTCCTGCAGACGACGTCTCATTGGTTAGATGCAAGGAAAGACGCTTTATCCTCTGCAATCCCTTTTGATACATAGATGGATTGATTTTGAAATGTCGATCTAGGTACGTCTCGATTATTTGGTTATGTCCAGTAGATCTGCGCCTTCATACTCGGCTTTGGAGGTCTCTCTGAGCCTGATACCTGCCTGACCCACTCTTTCCAGACAGCTGGGGGCAGTGAATGCCCTTCCAAACCTCCTTGTGCCAAACCTCTACAAGTGCAGTACAAGAAAATGTATTGCAAGTGAGCGCTACGTATCTTTGCTCTGGTGAGGTTCAGGCCAGTTTCTCGGTCAGGGCCTTGTTGAGGTTTCATTCGCGCTAAACATCACGCATGCCTAACTTCTATATTCCTCCTATTCATGAGAATCCAAACTCGTACAATGAAGGTCGTGTTTCGCCGCTCTTTCTGTCCTTCATGCTGTTGCTGCATCTTGGTCCTTCTCCAGCACACTTTTCAAGAAGCCGAGTAACGGTGCCACCCACTCCTTTCTTACCGGCACATGGTGGCCACCCGGATGAACCATCACATTGGGGTCAACAAAACGCTCTGCCAAGTCTCTACATCTCGGCTCTTCCACCACGGTGTCCCCACTGCCGAAGAAGTGACATGATGGAGTCTTGATCTGACCCTCGTACAGCCACCCAAGCTGTGCGCCTGGCCTGGTCACAAACCCCGAGTAGACGATACAGAACCGCAGTGACCTCCCACCATTTGCCTCACGTAGCCGCTTGACCCAACCTCTGTGCATCTCGTTCTCGGGTAACTCCCGGTCCCCTTCCAGTGCTGCAGCGACCAGCGCGCCGATCGCTCCACCCTGGCTGAATCCCAGTACACCATCCACACCCCCAGCATCTTCGATTGCATTGGCGATGGAACGCATGCCCTCCTCAAAGCCTCGCAAGAGACCAGGCTCCTCATCGTGGAGGAACCAGCCGTAGGCGTCGAGCTCCGCGTCAGACTCATCGGCTCCCTCGCGTGGCTGAAATCCTGGGATGTCCGAAGGCTGCAGTTTGTGTGGGCCAGTCGGATAGATGCGCGTTGCGTTGAAGGTTGGGAGAGCCTTGGCCATCATCTTGGACATTGCGCCTGTCTTAGAGCGGAAGAGGGGCCCGTTCTGTGCATAGCCTGGCTTCAAGGTCAATGCCGGATCATACACTTCCTTGGATGAGGCAGCTTACCGTGGAGCATAAGAATCTTGATCTCCTCCTTCTCCGCGGTGACATTCACCTCTTTGCCGCTCTTCCCAGACTTTTTGGGGGTTGGCCCATTCGAGCCGGAGTCCGCCATGGTAGTAGTGATTGCTCTTAGAATAGGCGTGTTGTATCCAATGACCTTATTACCAGCGATGACGGAAACCGACGTACAATGATAAGCCCGCGGCTTGGGAAACTTGTCAGATGCTGTTTGACGGTCTGACTCAAAGGTCCACTCTGCCAGTGGAGTTTGTCCCAGTCGATTTTCGGGGTGTCACGTGTCTTCCGGCCGGAACGACCTCACTTCGTGGTTTTGGCTCATACTTTCCGATACTGCGATGATAGCCATACATGAAAGTTGAATTTGAAATTTCACACTCGGTCCTTGAGGGTAACACGCCCAAAGGCGAAGATCTAAATAGGCTCCATCTTTGCGACAAGATATATGGAGCCTCAAATAGGTACCTGGGGCCGTCTTGGGCTGCCGGCTGCGGCAGCAATGGCGAGGACTTGCCCCACTTCCAACTAAAGCTGCGAGCGATGTCTCTTGCAAACACGAATGGGACTGCCTTCCAAGGTTCCAAGCAGTGAGTTGTGCCTCAAGTCTCTGGGCTCGTCGGTCCTGCGCCCAGCTCTGCATCAGCGGCCTCCTTTTCTGCCTCCGCCTCCCCTGGGCCTTCCAGCTGAGCCTGTAACAAGAAACTGGAGCAGTGGAGGCTCGCGAGCGACACGCACTGTTTTTGTCGAGATTGTCCCATTATATAGCGAATGCAGCACTGGTCAGGTCCAGCAAGTTAGTAAAGCCCCTTTGAGACTCCAACCCCTAGGTTGGATGACAAAGCACACGCCTTGCAAGTAGGTATGCGGGGAACCGAGAAACTCTAGGAAGCAAGGCTCGAGTCTGGACTAGACCTCGGCTGCTTATAATGCTCCTGAAACAGGAACATCTGCGGCTCACCATGCCTATAAGAACGTATTCCATCCGGTATCTGACATGAAAAATTACAGCCTCCCGTCCCCGAAGCGTAGGAATCTGTGTCCAACACATCGAGAATGTCGCTCAATGCCGGATTCTCATGGGCCGAGCCCGCATGGTTCAGCTCCCTCGAATCGCCATACTACAACGACTCGCATAGAGCCCTGCAAGCATATGTGAGGAAATATGTCGACGAGAATATCATGCCCCATGCTCTCGAATGGGAGGAGAAAGGCGACTGTCCCGAACAGGTCAAGAGCGCATATATCAAGACAGGCCTGCCGCTTGCCGATATCCCGGCCCAATACAAGACTCCGGAGCTCAGGTCTTTAGCCGGCATTCCCACCGAGAAGCTAGACACCTTCCACCACATGATCCTCGTTGATGAGCTAGCACGCTTCGAAGGCGGTGTGAGCGTCGCGCTCGTAGGAGGAGCGAATGCTATCGGGGTGCCGCCAATCATGAATCACGGCACGGAGGAACAGAGACGTCGCTGGATCCCTGGTCTTTGCACACGTGAGACGAGCTTCTGCTTGGGTATCACAGAGCCCACTGGAGGTAGTGATGTGGGAAATATACGGACAAAAGCTGTCAAATCGCCGGACGGAAAGTCCTACACGGTGACAGGAATCAAAAAGTGGATCACGGGCGCCCAGTGGGCAACACACATGACCACAGCCGTTCGGACGGGAAGGCCGGGGCTTGGTGGGATCTCGCTGCTCGTGGTGCCGTTGTCATCGCCCGGGATCGAGATTGAGAAGATCAAGAACAGTGGTCAGAACGCCGGAGGCGCAAGCTGGGTCCGCATGACCGACGTGCGCGTGCCTGTGGACAACCTTTTAGGCAAGGAAAATGCTGGCTTCAAATACATCATGACCAACTTCAATAAGGAGCGCTTCATAATGGCTGTCGGCTGCAACAGGAAGGCTCGGACTTGCTTGAGCACAGCTTTGGAATATGCGCTTAGCCGAGAGACGTTCGGAAAGGCGCTTATCAGTCATCAAATCATAAGGCACAAGTTGGTGACGATCGGGAGGGAAGTTGAGTCGCACTGGGCGTGGCTGGAGACGCTTGCATATCACGTACAAGTGCACGGATGGCAGACGGATACGGTGGCCGGACGAATCGCCTTGGCTAAGGTGTCTGGTGGTAGGATCTTGGAGTTGGCTGCGAGAGAAGCGCAGCAAATTATGGGCGGTGTGGCCTACCAGAGAGGATCAGGAGTAGGGGGCCAGATCGAACAGATCACTCGAGACTTGCGGATGATGGTTGTTGGGGGAGGATCCGAGGAAATACTGGAAGACTTGGCCTTCCGACAGGAGGCGAAGGCGGCACAGAAAAAGGCAAAATTGTAAAAGACCCAATTGATGGTTGTAAAGCAAAGAGCTATCGCGCTGTAGTATATATCGATCACTACTCTCGGGTCTACCTACTAATCTGAAGTGCTGGCTTTTGTCATCGAAGCCTATCAATCATACGTGCTGGGCGTAGGTAACTCACCTGCCCGGACTACACGCTGCTCGCACGAACAGGATGAGACTTTCGCGGAAGTATTCGACGACTACGACTCCAAGAAACTCACCTCACCCAGATTGACGATATTTTATTCCTCTTCAACTCTTCGCCCTAGTTAGTCTCCTAGTAGGGCAACACCTTGAGAGGGCGCGTATTCAATGGTAAAGGTGGCAAGCCTTCTACAGGCATTATTGAGCACCTTACTCCCCGTCTCAAGATTCGCTCGATCTTATATGGCGGCTTCTGCCCAAATGGCCGGATAGAGAGGACACACTCAAGCACTCCCAGACTTTGGGCCCTTACCCTGTTTCGGCGGCAACCCATGTAGAGCCAGAGAGGTAGAGAGATGGAAAAGGATAAAAAGAACAAAATTAAGAGCGTGGACAAATTGGGGGTCGAACCCAAGACCTTTCACATTACTTGCTCGATGCAAAGCGAACGCGCTACCACTGCGCCATATGCCCAACGTTTGATTAATCAGCACACAATCTCGTGCATGATCTTATAAAGTTTCAAGAACGCACAGGCGTCAAAGTAGTCAGGGCCCCATAACAACCAACAATAATGTGCTCAGGTATGCGGCCTCGTCTCTCTAAAATACAGATGCTCCAGCGTTGAAAAAATGATCAAGAAGTGCAGCATGGTTGAAAGGCAATATGCGGTGGGCCCTCTATCTCCGGAATGGGGAAAGTCAATCAAGGGCAGGAGTTTGAGGATAGCTTCCTGCTCTGGTAGATACAGCCAGATTGCCAGAAGCGCCGGATCAGCGTTTCCGTCTTCTACACTGAAACAAAGGTGTTTGTATGATGAAATTGATCGGTCCGTTTCAATTGCATTACTTTCGAAGCTCTTGTTGGTTCGAATTCCGTTTATGTGGACCTTGACTTAATTCTACGTCATTCCTCCCTTCAGTGGATGTTGTGGCGATCATTACGTGGTGGTCAGTCCGTCAGTGCGTTCTTAATACTATATCTACACCCACTGGTCCTCGGTTTGGGATGGTCTTTTCTTCCACTATATATTGTTCGCTAATATTCCCAAAAGCCAATTTCGATTGTACCCATCCGAAGTCTGAGTTAAAGCAGCCTGGGAAACCGTCAGTCGATCCACACTCGCCAATCATTTGTCACGTTTAACACTCTGGCGAACATTATCACACGCTGGAATCAGTCATGGAGAGCCTCGCGTCGAGCCTGAATAAGATGAGAGGACGTGACAATGTCACAAAAGGTTCAGGGAAAGCGGCAGCACCCACACTCGAAACACAACATCTTGAGAAACAACCCAGTGCCATCCCAAACAGAGCCAACGAGTCGACAGAACAGCAATCCTTGCACAAAGGAAACGACGCAATTTCACAACAACAACAAAGCACTGGTCAGCGAAGGGCTCTGCCCACGGGTCGGCCAACACCTGCAGTCCAAAACCATGAAGAGTCTCTGCTCGGCTCCGACTCTTCTTCACCAGCAAAACCAGCCTTCACACGAGGAATGTCGGTCATGGACCAGACAGCCGTCACTTCCACTGCTCCAACGCCAGCTGGGGAAATACAGAATCCAATGAGCTTTGGTATGGGTCAGTCAATGGCAAGACAGAGGGAGTCGCATTTACCGGATGAGGATCTTCGTGAACGAATTCGAACTATGAGTAAGGGTGAACCTTTGGGTGATATGGAGGGAGACGATGATTTTGGGGACGACTTATCGCGTCAAGAGACAGAGAAAGCGAGATGAACCTGAGCAAGTTCGTGGAAGAGCTCATTAGGAATGGAAACTTTCGTTGGGTATCTCACCGCGCAACTAGGGTCATTATTCCAGTAAACCTAATGACAAGGCCTATCAAATTTATTTGTGCGCATTATTTAAAAAAAGTTACCGATTTTGTGTGCGAAGGGAAAAGCTGCATGTGCAGCTTTCCCGACCCTGGAGTCAGATCGGAAGTTGTCTTAACGAAGCTCAAATTTATCATGAACGATGCATGTGACCGCTCATTGCAGTGCTTGGGCTCAGACACATCAGTTTTTGAGCCAACCGGCGGCAAAATCATACTGAAGGCAAGGGAAACGCTGGCGATTGTGGAAGCGGTGATCATATTGAGGGGTTGGGGATATGTATCTCTGCCTTTTTACACATGGAGACCCACTGTGCAACCATTGGAAGGCAGGAGTTTGCGAGCGGATTCGAAGGATCCGTAACGATCCAAGCGCCAGATCCCGGAAATGGGACATCAAGATAATCACCGAAAAAACCTTCCACATGAGAGACAAATAGTGATGAACTTCAACTGTGACTAATGCAATCCTCTGGGTTAATCTCAATAATTGGGCTTTGACCATTTCTGTTTCTTGTTCAGCTTTCATCGTCAGCATCTACTAGTAAGCGCCACACAAAAGGGGATATAGACGTTGCTGTCTTCTGAAGAAACTGGAGCAATAATTGAAGCTCGAAAACTCTCCGCAAACACCTTCACAAAGCCGAGAGTCACCATGGTCAAAGAGGACGCGGCCAATCTTGGAATAGACGACACAAATGAGCTCATGACACCTCAGCCTGCTCAAACCACAAGAAAGCCATTATCAAAATGCCAAACCTCCACTATCCGACTCGACACCACCTTGGCAGATCTGTACCGAGAATGCGGTATCCAGGGCCCCTTCATTGTCACAATGTACTGCGTCTTCGGGCATATGGATCTTCATCCATGTTTTCCCCGCGAACTCGTTTACCCGGAGGATGAGGAGCCTGTCCCATACGCCAATAATGAGAAGGAGATTGAGAGGCTCAGAAAAATCATCCTAGGTCTCAAACCTCTTCGCAGGGCTTTTGGCCTGGGTAATATGGATTTGCTCGTTTTCGCCCCAAATATCACTGAGGCTGGGATGGAAAGGGCGCTGTCGCAGCTAGAACCGGATCAGCGACATCGACCCAGGGTGGTGGATCTGAACGGCGAGGACTTTGTTGCGAGTCTTCAAGAGACGACCAAAAATGCAAAGCTTCTCTTTTGGCGTCCACAGGGCTGGATGGACCACCACAGTTGTCTCTTGAACCCTCGCGAAATGTTTGACATTAATTCGAAAATGTTCCTCCTCACATCTGGTATTCGCACACCCACGTCAGAGGTCTTTGATTTGCAAAAGGTCGTCCTAGACGCACCGTCCTGCATCTTCCAGACGAAGCCCCTGCCATTCGTGGTCAAGCTGCTCCGAGCTGGCTGTGGTTTCGGCACATTTATCATAAAGACTGAGGCCCAGCGAAACAACTTGTTGGCATCACTGACAATTTACAAAGCACGAGGCACGACAGACGTGATACTCTCCCAGTACATCGATCTCGTTCACGACCTCAGCGTCCACTTTGTTGTAGGCGCTCCAGGAACTGCGCACGACAGGAATGCACCCCTCATCATGGGCGTCACGGTGCAAACGCTTACCACGGAGGGGAAGTGGGTGGGCGGACACATCGACTATAGCATGCAAGACAAGCTTTGCCAGTTAGTGCAGAAAACCGTGCAAGATACGACGCGACGGCTGCCGATGACTTTTGTGGGCTGGGCGGGGGTGGACATCGTGGCGGATAAGGAGGGCGAACAATATGTCGTGGACTTGAATGCTCGCTTCACGGGCTCTATGCCCATCTGCCTCATGTCGGGGCATTTTTGGAAGGAGAGGGCCTTGCCGTTGGCGCAATTTGCGGCTGTCGAGTACGTGGGCAAAGTTGATGATATCTATAACAGACTGCAGCCTCTTATTGAGACGGGAAGGGTCATAATTACTGCAACTGCGGAGATTGAGGATGACTTGAATATGGCGGATGTAGTTTGGGGTGGCAAGGATACAAAGCACCTGTCAGACACTGAGCAATGGATTAAAGAAATGCTCGTTGGGATATGATGGGGCTGCGATGTCAGACAATTGCCGACGCATGTTTTTCTTAGGGGTTCACGACACGTATAGTCGATAGATAACCTTGAGTATGTCACTTTTGCCAGCCGGTAAAGCTCACAGTCGCTGCCCTGACCTGGCAACTAGTCCAGCCCAGCGACCTTCCGCATGCGCTCCCGCTTCGTCACGGACTTTGCGACGATGACATCCTCATCGAATATTGAAGTCCACGGGTGTTACCTCGATGGCTCGACGCCGCCACCAACCCATTTGCTGAAATTGGTTGTCTTACTTTGGATAAGCTGAACAAACTTCCGGATACAATATGGTTGACAATGTCATTGCGCGTATGACGGACGATCTGGCTATCGCTCCGGGCGGCCTAAGGAAGCGAATCATACGCCAAAACCTTTTCTGGAAGCGAACCACCCAACGTTGTCAGACCCTCGATAGCATCATGGATCAGCCTGTATGTGAGCTGAGCTTTTTGTAGGTTGCCAGCCAGGGGATCACCGACTCTCACGTAGCCTTGTAATGTGCCTATAACAGCTACGGTCGATGGTTGCTTTCCGCCTTAAGATTCACATGGACGCTTTCTATGTCGCCGCTCGCTCGGCTTGAAAGCTCAAGCATCATAGGGCTGAGCTGCTTGATGCTAGCCTCTGGGGCTGTCGTGGAACCACGAAGATTTGAGGCTTTCTACGAAAGTACTACCACCAACGAACTCAACAGTCCCATCCCAAATAGATTCACGTTATCGATCGTATAATCTCCTCCCCTCCCCCCTCCCCACGATACACGTAGTAGAGGGGCCTCATTGTCCACTTCGGTCTCTATCTATAGATTCTCGCTTCCACATCAGGCCCAAAGCATCCTACCTGGGTACACCTCGATGGACGAAAATCCACTGTTTCCCAAGAAGTAATGAGTTCAAATTGCACAAACTTTCCAGGTGCTGTCTTCCTTTCATCACCTTGAATATGGACACCAACGGGCGTGCTTATCAAGCCTACCAGCCTCTCCCCTTTGGTAGCAAAAGTCCTCGCGCTCTCAACGCCCTCGTGACATCCCTCCGCTCCAATTTCCCTGCTAACTCGCCCGTCAGATCATCTCTTGTCCCAAAGACAGCACTACAAGTCACGCCACGGTGCTCGTCACAATTAGCACAGATCCCAAACTTCCCCTCGTGCCGCACCGAGTCCCGGAGCAGCTACTCAAACTGGCCCACGCACTACCAAGCTCCAGCAAGCTCTCTAGTCTTGGGTGGTGCCACGGCAGAGTGCATCGCCTGCCGCCCACGTGTAGGATCACCAGGTGGCCGTCCGCATTGTATTCGTACGTCGTATAGAGCTCGTCCAGTGGCCATGAGCCCGGAACAAGCTCGCTGGGACTGTGCCCATTCCATTCAAATACCCTTGCCACGTGGCCATATCTATTGAAGGGGAATTTCTGGTCGCAATGGGCCAAATCATCAAGGAATATGACTTTATGGTCTCCGCCTGCGGCTGAATTGCCGCACGACTCTGTGCCTGGGAAAAGGACGGAGGAACCAGGCCTTTGGAGTTCGCGGATCAGTGCGAGGGT